TGAGCGAGGTAACCAGGATGTGACCTCGGCTGCCATGGTGTCCCTACTGGTCCGGTACCAGGTGCTGCCCTACCTGTACACCCTGTTCTACAAAGCGCACGTGTTTGGAAATACGGTAGCCAGGCCACTGTTCCACGAGTTCCCTACCGATCCCGAGACTTACGCCATCGATCAGCAATTCATGTTGGGACCGGTAGCTTTGGTATCGCCATTCCTGTTCGAGGTATGTGTCATATATTATTTATTTTAATATTATAAATATATAATTAATTATCTAGCGCAAATTGGTGTCAAATATATCTATAAATTACATTAATCACCATGCTTAATTCCAGAACCAAACCACAGTGAGCGCCTACATCCCGGACGACGTCTGGTACGAACCGACCACTGAGTTCGTCAAACTCTACCCGCACACCGGCCACCAAAACCTGGCCGACGGACTATTCCCTCCCATATACCTGAGGGGCGGTCACATAATCCCCATGGGTTTCACCACACCGGCCAACTCGCAAGTGACCCGGGACAACCCGATCACCATGGAGGTGTACCCGAAAAATAAGCAAGCTAAAGGCGATATGTTCTGGGACGATGGCGATTCGATAAACGCCATCGAGCAAGGTCGATTTAACTTTTTCGAAATGGAGTTGTTTCCAAATTGTACCGTGACCATTACCAATAAGATTAAGGGATACAACACTGACAAGCAACATGTACTGGCACGTGTGCTGGTGGCTAACACTCAGCCAGCTAATATTACCGCTACATTAGATGGTAAACCCGTTCAGCCGGCTATTTTCAACGAGGAGCATAATGAAATCACCGTGAACATTGATTTGAATGCCGCTAAACTTGGACAGACCTGGGTGATCGAGTGGCAGACCACTGATGGCACTTGCAATTTGAACTAGTTGTATTTTTAAAAATTGTTATTAACTTTTAAATTCAATAAAATTGTGATTTTCATTTAATTATGATGATACTTTTATTTATAATGTTTAACTAATTTAAACTTATTTAGATGGGTATTGAATAATAGCTAAATATTTCATAAAATATTACTATTTATTTTGCTGTTAATAAGTTAATTTTTTGGGAAAAATAATAAAATGATCATATTTTAGAATTAAAAATAAAAATTTTATTTTAAAACTATGTTTTAGTTGGGTTGAATATTTTATTGTTTACTTTAATTTAAATGCTACAAAAGCTTAATATTTATTTATTACAGTTTTTAAAGTATTATACACTAAATCATTTTATGCTTTGTTAGCACCTGGACTTGGTTAACTACTGTATTTATTTTAATAACTTTTAATAACTTTATATAAATAAAAAACTTAAATATGAATATTAATTTTACCCCATACTACAAAGTCTATATTTTTCTGAATTAAAATACTGTACTAATTAAATAATTATGCTAAACTTAATAAATGTACTCATAAACGATAATGTACTGTAGTACCTTCAAATACAAAACCCTTGTGAAGGGCATATCATAAATACATTACAGTGTATGCGCTATAAAACACAGCACAGGTATGTCGAGTACATCGGTAGAGTGCATACAAACAACAACCTATCAGTGGTTTAGCACTCATTGAATGTACGCTATGTTTACGGTGAGTGCAAATAGTTTGAAACTTTTCATAGACTGTAAATACGGGCAAAATCTCAACATTTTTAAACATATTAATTGTTTTTTAAAATATTTCTAAAACATATAAAGTTTTGTGTAATTAATTATTAGTAACTAATTGTAGTTAAACAATGAATTCACTGAAACTGACCACAAGTTTACGGCAAATGTATGGACGAAAGGCTCCCAAAAATGTCACTTCAATTCAGTCTCTTTTACGGTATGTATGAGTAGTCTCTCTCTCT